AAATAACTAACACATTACTTATTGTTATGAAGTTATTTGTAAAAAGATATGATTTAGAGATTTTTTAAACGATGTACTTTATCTAGGTAGTTATTTAAGTAAACTAATTCCAATATGTAATACACAATTTAATAAATAGAAACTGCAATCCCGACTTTTGCAATAGCAGTATTCGTTTGACCGAAATTGTAATTCCTTTACGTAAAAGAACAGTATAAGCAGTTCCCATGGCGCGCGTTTTAAGTGTAAAGGAGGAAAACGAATATTAATTACAGAGAAGGAAGGGTGGTGTTTTATGGAAGTTTCTTTTATCTTTTTCCCTCTTCACAGGTCCCATCCCTTTCCTGTTGTTCTTTTAGTGTTAACATAAATTTACAACGACACTAACGCCACCTACTTTTAACTAATAACTTACTTTTAGGCTACCCATTAACATTCTATTACAATATTGAATTCTAACTTTCCATTTACAAAAACATGTTTAACTTGCATGTCAATATTTAAAAATGTTCGTGGTAGAAAAAATCAAGTTGTTTTGTGGTGAAAAGTGCACAAAGCAAATACATAACATTGAAATACTATGATTTTGAAACTGTAACCTAATGTCCATAGCTAATAAGTCCGTTGAATATAAACTCTAAGTAGCAATAAAGTATTAAGCCGCACATATGTTCCTAAAATGTTGATATCCTTGCAAAGACTAGCGTTTAAGTGTGTATGAAGCGTAAAACGTCCCCACTTGGTTAATAACTGCGTCATATAATAACCCTTCAATATTGTTAATATCTGCCAAGTATTGAGAGTATAAAACGAGTTATTGGCCACAAAATACGTCCAGTGTAGCGTAGCTCGTAGCGTGCAACTCATCCTATCCAATATTGTCAATATCTGCACTGTAATGGTCCGTATTGAGAGTATACGACGAGTTATTGACCACAAAATACGTCCAGTGTAGCGTAGCTCGTAGCGCGTAACTCATCCTATCCAATATTGTCAATATCTGCACTGTAATGGTCCGTATTGAGAGTATACGACGAGTTATTGACCACAAAATAGTCCAGTGTAGCGTAGCTCGTAGCGTGTAACTCATCCTATCCAATATTGTCCAATATCTGCAGTGTAATGGTCCGTATTTAGAGTATACGACGAGTTATTGACCACAAAATAGTCCAGTGTAGCGTAGCTCGTAGTGTGTAACTCATCCTATCCAATATTGTCAATATCTGCAGTGTAATGGTCCGTATTTAGAGTATACGACGAGTTATTGACCACAAAATAGTCCAGTGTAGCGTAGCTCGTAGCGTGTAACTCATCCTATCCAATATTGTCAATATCTGCAGTGTAATGGTCCGTATTTAGAGTATACGACGAATTATTGGCCACAAAATACGTCCAGTGTAGCGTAGCTCGTAGCGTGCAACTCATCCTATCCAATATTGTCCAATATCTGCAGTGTAATGGTCCGTATTTAGAGTATACGACGAGTTATTGACCACAAAATACGTCCAGTGTAGCGTAGCTCGTAGCGTGCAACTCATCCTATCCAATATTGTCCAATATCTGCAGTGTAATGGTCCGTAGTTAGAGTATACGACGAGTTATTGACCACAAAATACGTCCAGTGTAGCGTAGCTCGTAGCGTGCAACTCATCCTATCCAATATTGTCCAATATCTGCAGTGTAATGGTCCGTATTTAGAGTATACGACGAGTTATTGACCACAAAATACGTTCAGTGTAGCGTAGCTCGTAGCGTGCAACTCATCCTATCCAATATTGTCCAATATCTGCAGTGTAATGGTCTGTATTGAGAGTATACATCGAGTTATTGACCACATAATACGCCCAGTGTAGCGTAGCTCGTAGCGTGTAACTCATCCTATCCAATATTGTCAAAAATAACCCACCATAACCATATTATATGGTTATGGTCGTATAATAACCAGCGTCCAATATCTGTAAGTGTATAATATTATATTTTCTGATAATATATATCAGATCCCATTGTTATTCATGTAACATTACATCAATCTATGCCCACTTATGTAGCTCCAAAGACACCAAAGCCTACGAGCCGTATTTTATTAATGTGGTTTTTACACTTTATGTAGACTTTTTACAGTCTCATCCTATCCAATATTGTCAATATCTGCAGTGTAATGGTCCGTATTTAGAGTATACGACGAGTTATTGACTACAAAATACGTCCAGTGTAGCGTAGATCGTAGCGTGTAACTCATCCTATCCAATATTGTCAATATCTGCAGTGTAATGATCCGTATTGAGAGTATTCGACGAGTTATTGACTACAGAACACGTCCAGTGTAGCGTAGATCGTAGCGTGTAACTCATCCTATCCAATATTGTCAATATCTGCAGTGTAATGATCCGTATTGAGAGTATTCGACGAGTTATTGACTACAGAACACGTCCAGTGTAGCGTAGCTCGTAGCGTGTAACTCATCTCATCAAATATTGTCAATATCTGCAGTGTAATGATCCGTATTCAATCGTGTCGTAGCTCTCAATATCTTTACAACTTCCTCTTTGAAGATGCATTATGTTATTGAAGCTCTGATGCTGTAGTTGTTTTCGTTGAACGGTCGCTTTTATTTTGATAAATATGGCCTAAAAGTTTATACCACCGCTAATGCTGTTTAAATCGTCACTTTTTTAGTCTGTTGACACTTTTTTAGTAAGTGGAAATAAGTAATTTTTGGTGTGAGAAAGATAAATAATGGGGCTCATGTAAGAAAATTTACAATGATTTCAACAGATCACATTTTAAACGATATATCGTAACAGAACATAAATTAATGAATGAAGCCAAAATGAGTTTTTATTGTCTTATTACACGTTAAAAGACTGCAACTATTCGACGAATGCATATGGCGAAGTAGACGATTCGATATATTTTAAATAATCCAATTGCCAATAATGGAGATCTCGTTAAAGCTCATTAAAGCTGAGCGAAAGTTGGCTATCACAGTTAATTAACAAACTCGATCCCCTGTCCCTGCTCGTGATGGTGGCCGTGATGTTAATAGTTACTGTTCTTACCAATAGCTCCGTACTGAACAGTGAACAGGCTGCGATTTTCACACCTGACCTGTTTCAAGTTTGTTTTTAATGTTCCATTTAATATAATTGTAATATTTGATTTAAATTGTTATGAAATGTATAGAAATGCAATCACGTTGAAATTGCTTGGAAGCTGACCAAAATTGTATTAATTATTATAAATTATTATTAAACTTTCAGCTAATTGGGATAAATATTGTGACTCAATATCGACGAGTGTTCACGACTTATAACTTAGCAAATAAATATGGTTCTCACAACAAATGTAATTCCTTGACGTTATCCTTTTCGTATAAAATCTCATTAAATAATACAAGTGATGTAAAAATGACAAACAATAATTATAACGCTTTACAGGAAAGACCTATCAATACATACATCAATAGAATTAAATTTAAAAACTGTTTATTTAAATAAATCGATGAGTACTGCGAAATTTAATTTTCAATGTTTCCTTTTAGTTTTGTTTAGTAAGGATTAACAGTGAATTGTATGTTGTTGGAATAACTGCAAAAAAAGTTTCATATGAGACAACAGAAAGTCGATCTAAAATGTTCATAGTTGTACAGAGCCTGATATAATAGATACAACATTCATCAAACCGATAGATAAACGTCACATTTAGTTATGCCTGTTTTATGCTACAATAGTCTTTAATTCTGGTTATGTTTATGTTATTCCACTTACATTACATCATTCTGTGTTTCCTGGAACGTCGCAACGTTATCCATCGTAAATAAAGTTCAATGTTTCAAAGTTTTTAACTTTTTAGAAATATTTCCTAAGTTTTGAGGGAACTCTCCGTTTCCCCATGCGCTTCTTCAGGGGAAACTTCAAATCGTTAATGGACAAGTTGGCCGAAGGGTCAAAGACGTTTTATTCTCAAGAGACTGAAAACAAGATATTAAGGAGCTCGTGGGTCTCAAAAGACTTGCTAACCTTTTATTACCTGATTTCTGTGAGATTTCAAAGCATCTTTTAGAAACTTTTTAAAATAAACATTGTAATATACTAATGAAAGTTACCTTAAGGGTTAAGAAAAAATACATTGCAGTGTTAAATTAAAGACAGTATGATTAGAAAACACATTTTTTATTTTTTCTAGTTTTCTTTTATTTATATATTAAGTGTGTAGAATTTGTACCGTGAAACAAATCTCGCTCCCAAATTTAATTTATTCTACAAATATTTAAGCAACAAACACAAGGGGTAAACAATAAACCAACAATTCTATTTTAAATTCTAACCATAATGATTACCAAACATATCAATTTTGAAGATAGAACCCACGTTTACGTTTACATCTGTAAGGTTTAACTTAAACATAAGTTTGAACCTAATTAACATGATTTAATTACTAATTTCCTCCAAATATGTAGCCTCAGGTGGTGTACTTGGAAAGCTTGATCTTACCTCAATCTCTCTAGAGTTTAGTCTTGTCTCTAATGACCTCATTTCCGAGTCGCCCCCTCCTGTATATCCTCAACCTCCAACTCACGACTTCTCCACCTCAGTATTTGTTGCAACATTGACTATCGATTAAACCATTATACTCTGAACATCGATGCGATAGACTTATTTACCGTAGTACAGTACAGCAATATTTACAGTTAAAACCCGACTCGTCCCCAAATAAAAATGGTTAAAGTAATTGACTTATTTTACTTTACCTATTTATTTATAGATCTACTTTTAGGTACATATATTAATTGACAAGTTCAGATAGAAAAATTAAATTTAACTAGTCAAAGATACGAGTGCCGATAGCCTAATTCTTCAAAGTCACTCTAGGCTACTCGAGCTGCAATGTCTTCAAGCCTAGCAGCCAAATTTGTCTTTGCATGTTATTTTAGTTATTTTTGGAATGTAATGAAATTCAATTCTTAAATAGTGCAAGTAACACATGAATTTTTGTTTCAGGAAAATGACCTAGGAACATTTTTATGTAAGTATTGGCCTTGTTAATTAGTTGGAGTTGTATATTTTCTCCTACTACAATATTTACCTATTGTTTAAATTTAATTTTAATTAAATAGCCCACAATATTTTACGATTGCTAGCATTAGTAATGTGCCATTTTTACCTACAGTAAATTGGTGAATTGAAGTAGCAAAAATCCAAGGGAACCATTGTAAATGTGTTTTTGTGTTCTAACCGGCTAAAATACTAAACAATTTGTTACCAGCATCTAGATGTCTGTTTGACTACATAATGATTTATAGTGAAATTCCATTATTGTGGTTTCAAATAGGCCAGTCACAACTTTTGTCTTAAACATAACTTTACACAGTGAGAAGTGTCGGGGAGAAGATTAACCGACGATGGAGGGCAGTTTTGGGTTTATGGGGGTAAGCAACGCCTACTCAGAGGGGAGCAGTTGGGGGGGGGGGGGGTAATAAACCCCTTGTTATGGGAACTATTACTGTGTTTATACAGTGGCTACCGCTATGAATCTGAGGGTTGCAAATGTTGGTTGTATGTGTGTAACATTTTGAATCGCTGATTAACAGAGGTTTTGGACAATTTTTATCTTAATCTATTACAGATTCAGTTAAAAATATCTTTCCTGAATTGGGTGTGGTAACAGTTTACAGCTTGTGTATTTATGAGACAATTATTTTCGCAAAAAAATTCATTTATCATCCACTGCAAGTAAATATAACAAATGCTTTCTAATTAACCTTCCTAGACATAATTTAGAATTCCACACAAAAAAAACCTTCATATGTAGGATTAAAATTCTTCAAAAATTGCCTATTTTACTTAAAAACAGAAAATGATATAAACAGATTCAAAAGCCTTCTAAAAGACTTATTGATAAGAAACCCATTTTATTCAGTCTAAAGAATTTTTAAATTGTAATCTCAAAACGTGCATTGTTTTTTTTTTTAGTTATAGCACTCATTTTTAGTTTTACTATATAAATCCTTTGTAATGAATGATTTTAATTATTTATTTTATAATTTTTTGTTTATGTTAGTTTAATGACGCTATTCAAGACATATTGCCTAAACTTTATGAATAAAGAATATTTGATTGATTGATTGATAATTAGCAAAATACACCGCAAACGTTTCACCGCTGGAAAATTCCTACACCATCCACTTAAATCATTTTAAATATATATTTTTTAATATTAAGTTCTTCGTAGTGTATACGTTAAAGTTATGTTGTAGTCCATTTATAATGGCTCGAATAAACGTATCTTACGTAAATGTAAACTTTTAAACTTCTTGTATAAACACATCAATAATGTTTCTCAAGTTTACGTAATGAACAAATTACTGAATTAAATTAGTCATTTTACAGCTACTATACTTCTCTGTTTTCAACAATAACGGGTTAAAGCTAGTTCATACTCCTCGCAAAGCCATAACCGCTACATAGCTAAAAATAAATACACATCGATTGAGGTACGAGGTATTAAAAGAATAAGATTATTCACTGATGGGGATATTCTTGACATAACAATATTTGTGTATACTATCAATCAAAATTCAATTCCCACAATATAATTTAAGGTAAAATATCAAGAATGTAACGTTATATTATTAATCAAGTATAACACCAAATAATTCCAAATTAATACTCTTGCTCGTTGGCTCGTTGACGGAATGTTTCGAAAACGCAAAGTTGAGTCTTTGTCGTGGCCACTTTGAGGCAAGCCTGAGACCATTCTCGACTTGAGTAGATCTACTTGTAAGAAGATTTTGTATTTGTTTCCTTTTTTCGTGCTTGTATTACACGGATGTTAAATATTTTGTTTGAAATACATCTAGAAGTTTCTGTAATGGTTTAAAATGTAATAATGGTCGCTGATGTTGTGTTTGTTCTCCTTTTAAGAACTACTGTATTGTATTCGTCCATTAGATTGCAATAGGTTATGAAACACCATCGAACAACCTATTTTTAGCTTACTAGTTCCTGATCATTGGTCTTTAAAAAACTGATCCTGGCCAATGAAACGGCTGATCCAGTAGCAAAGATCATCTCACACTGTTCTACACTCATACTTTACTCATATTTGGGTTAAAATACGCACCTAGCATCATTATCTCAATGATTGATAATTTATTTAAAAACAAACGTAGTATGGATATTTACAAAAATGTACCATTATCAATAGTTTGTGGGACAGCGATTATCTTAATTGAATAAACTTACATACAAAACCAGCTTTTAACAAAATTGTTTTTTTCAAGTTCTAAACAAATCCGTGATTGTCAATGCAGCAATCGTGTTTTCACTTTCAATGTTTGCATTTGTAAAAGCGCAAATAACTAAATCAAACTCCATCAGCGTTCAATAGCCTCTTGTTGGTCCAGACACAAAAATGTTTTAACTCTCGTCTCTCGTATTCTGTTTTGTAAATAAAGGCGAAATGAAAGTTTAGACTGAGTGAAAAATCATACATTGCGTACAAAGTCATAATTTTGTGTGACACAAAAATGACTTTGCTGTGAGTCCTTGGGCTAAATTTTGCTACCAAACGCACAGCTCTTTTTAGCAAATAGAAAAACTTTGATGGTGAGTTAATGTTTAAAGGTTTATTGCCGACATTTTCCATCACAATGACAATACACAACGCTTTTGGCAAGCTTTTAAGAAGAATGCATATTTTAAATTTCCAATCAATTTCTAAAAAGCATGCCAAAGCGTTGTGTATATTTTGATTTTACTATTGTGAAGGAAAATGTCCGCAATAAATCTTTAAACATTAGACATTTGTTTGTAATAAAAATACACTCAAAATATTAATTTACATTTATTTGCAAACAATTTGTGTTGTAATCATCTATTTTAGGTGATTGGCCACACGTTTTTGTCTTAAATAGTTTTACTGCTTTCTAATGCTTGTTGATGTTAAAACATTAACGTATATTTCAACACCGAAAGGACATTTCCAGCACAATCGGAAAGTGTAATATTACTGGGAGAGCTCGGTAGACAGAATTACTCGCCACCAATATCCCCAATACCCCATAGGAAGGTTCATACACAACATTGGAACATTCCTGTCTGTCCCAGTCAGAATGTAGCTCCACAGCTCAATATAGTACTGATGAACATGTTCAGTTTTAATAAACTCCCTGTTGATTTGCTGCTCTTTCGAATACTACGCCAATAGATAAATCTGTCCAACGGAAGCAAAAATTAAATTTAGTAACACGTTGCATTTAATTGTATTATTCTACTCATGAGTATGTTAGTTTCAATGGTACATGCAGAGGGGTTATTAAACATGAGGGTTGAAACACATGTTGTGTGATTGATTTATTTTAAAAGGGCCAATTAATGTTGTTCTAATTATTTTCAAAATGTAATAGAAGTCTGTTTCTTCGTCAAGGATGACTGTACATAATGTAAAGAACGTTCTTAGAAAAATTCAGGGTTTCATATTTCTTCATACCAATTTTATCTTTCTTGTATAAAATTTGGACACGTTATCGGCGGATAAAACCCCGTAAAATTTAATATTATATTCCAAAAATGTATATAACTCTTTTTATTGAATCATATATTTAGTTTTTTCTTATTTGTTATTTGTATTTGCTCATCTTTTTTCTTAACAGTTAGATTTTTTTAAAGAACGCAACAAAAAACAAAATAAGAAACATGATTAAGTTTAAAAGACATGATAATTGTCAAAATTCAACACGATATAGGGTTAATAAATCTTAAATAAAATCATGACTTACCGAAAATGGGGATTAAAAGCGAGTTTTACTGAAAATCACTATAAAAGACTAACCTAAAAGGAAGGCAGCATGTGGCGAACCAGCCCTATACAACCTTCTTTTTGCAAATCTCAACTTGAAACAAAGAATCTGATTGGTTGAGAGCTTTGCTTTGTCTTATTCAAAACTACCTCAAGCTAGACAGGAATAATCTATAGTACATGTGGAACAGTTTCAATGTGATCGACCGCTTTTGAAATTGCTATATACAATATATATATACTATATTAAATATACATGTAATATAATATCTTACCATAGCTTAAATTTATCATTTGTGTTTTCATTGTAGTACTAGCTATACTAGATTCTCACCTACTTTAGTAAGACTATAAACTTCAATTATGTTCATATTTTTTTTTAAAGGTGCACAAATTATAGAGTCAATTATTATCTTTTTGGGTTAGAATGCTTTTTAATTGTGTTCTCCGAAGGTTCTTTGCGTTTTAACGGTAATCCGGTAATAATTATTAGTGGTTAGGAGACAAATTTAAAGAGGATCCACCTAATTACGTACACATTATAGACACTAAAGTACTGCATGGTTTGATTAGAATTTTTTCTTTACCAACATATTGAAAGAATTCAAATTAAATTCTCTTATATCTTCTCTTTTATATCTTATTATAAAGAAGAGACCAATGATTTTAAGTCCACTTCCATGCACTCTTCCATACCATTCCACAAATAACTTCCCCAGCTGTAGTTCGTTTATCACAGATTCCCAAGGAGATAGGCTTAAGTGTAATTTAATAGTTATTATCTAAAAATATCGCTATGGCATTTCTCTCAACTCATCCTTCACGAAACGTTTAAACATTTGAAGTATTTGGTTAAATGTTTTTGTTACCAGAGAATAATTCCATATACCTAATTTAAAATTAAGTTTTACTATAACAACATCTTCATTGATAGATACAAAACTTTTGACTCGATTTTGCTTATTAACTTAATCTATCCTACTGTTATTAAAAGGTTAGTGACCAGTAATTTAATGGTTTTTATATTTTTTTAACGAGACTTAATTCATTTAAGCAACATTTTGCTCTATGGTAGAGGGAAATTTCAAGGAAATGGTGCTTATGAAATAATGAAAATTGTTCGTTTGAATCCCTTTGTACCCAGTGGAGCAGTTACCCTTGTCTTTAATAGAGCTTACACTTACCACAACGTTTAGGGATATTATCAATGTATCTTCAACATTTTA